TTTCAATCATGAAGTTTTCTAGCTGTCAATCTGCAGACAAACTAACAGTTTGTCACATTTCTTTCAGAAAGTCCTGCCTGTTATTGATCCGATCTGATCCTAATAGGAACTCTTCACTCACATCAGGTGTTTTCCCCCAGGCCTTGAAAACAGCAGTTATCAAACCACTGCTAAAAAAGAACAATCTGGACAAATCACTACTGCAGAATTACAGGCCGACCTCTGACCTCTGACCTCCCATTCATCAGCAAAATTATTGAAAAAACTGTGTCTGAACAATTAAATAGTTTCCTCATGATGACCAACTGCTTTGACTCTTTCCAGTCTGGTTTTCGTGCTCACCACAGCACGGAGACTGGCCTAGTCAAAGTATTCAATGATATCCATATAAATACGGACTGTGGCAGAACCACAGTGCTGGTTCTGGTTCTGGTTCTGTTGGACCTCAGTGCAGCTTTTGACATATTACTGAATGGACTGGAGAGTTGGGTTGGACTCTCCGGTTCGGTGCTCGACTGGTTTGAATCCTACATAAAGAACAGGGATTTCTTTGTTTCAATTGGAAACTTCTCATCAAAGAGGTCAAAGGTCACATGTGGGGTACCCCAAGGTTCAATCTTAGGACCCCTCTTATTCAATATTTATATTCTCCCACCAGCTCAGGTCATAACAGGAAATAATATTAGCTACCATAACTATGACACACCTACCTACACCTACCTACCTACATTACGATGTCACCAGGTGACCTTTGACCCCATCCAATCACTGAATAAATGTTTAGACAGATAAATGTGTGGATGTGCCAAAACTTTCTCCAGCTGAACAGAAACACAACTGGTCATTATTTTTGGACCTAAAGAGGATCTAGAGCTATAGATCTAGAGTTATAGATTTATATCTAGAGCTATAGATCTAGAGTTATAGATATAGAGCCATAGAGCTACAGTTATAGATCTAGAGTTATAGATCTAGAGCAATAGATCTAGAGTTAAAGCCTGTCCAACAAATCAATCCTCCAGAAGCTGCTGCTCCTGTTCTCACTAGACCCAGGAAGATAGAGACATAACAGCAGTTTTAAAGTCCCTCCACTGGCTCCCTGTAGCTCAAAGAATAGATTTAAAATACTGTTGTTAGTTTATAAATCACTGAACGGTTTAGCACCACAATACATCAAAGATCTGCTGTTGTTGTATCAACCTTCCAGACTCTCAGGTTCTGGTTCTGGTTCTGCTCTGCATCCCCAGAACCAGAACCAAGAGAGGAGAAGCAGCTTTCAGCATCTATGCACCAAAACTTTGGAACAAACTTCCAGAAAACTGTAAAACAGCAGAAACCTGACTTCCTTTAAATCTTGACTAAAAACCAGCTGATTAGAGTTTTATTTGAAATGTAATATGGAACAATGTATTGTTTATTCTATGACTTTGTGTTTATGATGTAAAGCCCTTTGAAATGTGCTATACAAATAAAATTAATTGATTGATTGATCAGTTCGTCCTGCTGCCTGCAGGGGGCGCTGCAGCTCTTCGCTGCATGGATCTGAATTCTTGGGATGTTCCTGGTCCAGCATCTGACTTCCTGCTTCCTGTGTGCAGGCGGCGCAGGGCGAGGAGGGACTGGACCGGGTTCTGAAACAGATGGGAGTCCAGAAGGACCAGAACATCTCCTTCGACCACTTCTGGACGCTGATCCGCCACCAAGCGGCGCAGCAGTTCAGCAGGGCACAGAAAGAGAAGGGCGACAAGTTGAACTGCTCGCTGCAGTGACACGGCGCAGCCTGACCAGAGGGGGCGCTGCAGGACCGCAGGCTCACGCAGAAACTATGTAGAAAAAACTACAGTAGTTCACTTGTTTGTGTTTCAATTTTTGAGGGGTGACGAAAGAACAAAAACAAAATCAAAAGCAGATTGTTTCTTCATCTGCTTTACTGATGTTAAGAATTAAAATGAGGAATAACTTGATTTAGCTCGTTAATTTATTCCTCCGTCCTAGGTTCCTGTGTGTCTGCATGTGGAGGGAGAAAAGAGCAATCATACGACGTCAGACTTCAGATATTCAGAGTTTTATCCAAAGAATTCAATGCAATACAGAATGTTACAACAAGCATCTCACCTAGATTATCAAAAGTCCAAGACATGACAAAACAGAGACAAATAACTGAGTAAAAAGACAAAAAATTAACAGAAGATGCATCCTCCAGGAAACTCTCACTCAGCACAAAGAGATTCGGACTTCTGCTGTAAAACAAACCATTTTATAATAATGTGTATTCTCTTCATTTAAATATATGCATTAGGAGGTGTGTTTTCCTTTGTGTGGGCTGTCTTAATGTTAATTTTATTACCTCCTGCTAAAGAGCCCAAAGGCAGATATATGGATCGTCCAACTGGGTCTCTGCCGTACCAGGCGTCTCCTGCAACTCTCCCTGAGCTAAATTTACGACCTCTGTCTGTTTTAGTTTTCTGCCTCAAATGATTCCACAAGAAAGTAGTTTGTATTTTTAACCAAGCTTGCACAAAATGTAATGCTAAATAATGACAATAAGTTTGGATCTAAAACTAACTAATTAAAAACATGCAAATATATTAATATGTTTGATTATATGTTGTAACAGACTTTTATAGTTTTTAATGTTTGTCTGAACTATTCAACCCTGAATAAAGAATTTATTGCCCTGATAGCCAATACACTCCCTGTCTGAAACGCTCCTTAAGGATATAAGACTGCTTTCTGATTAGAAATTTATGTAACTTCAGAGAGTCACCAGTTGTCCCAGTTTGGATTTGTATCTAAGTTTATCTTAACGTAAAAGTTAGCCTGTGTACTATTGTGCTACTTTAAAATTCTTATTTCAACACTGAGAACGTACGGAGGACCAATGATGACGTTAACATTCAGTCACTTAAATCAAAGTGATCCCACATTCTTGCCAGAAACTCGTGAATATTTCATATAGACTTGATTATGAAAGTTTTTTCTGTGCAGCATTCCTCACAGCAACAATAAACCTTCAAACTGATCAACTGCATCTTTTTCTGAAATGAAAAAAATAACAACTGATAATTAAAAGTCCACAAAAATTACATTAAAAACCATCAATGTTCAATTTAACAGATTCAGTAATTGTGATTTTTTTTTTAGAAATTATTGATGAAAAAATGCTGAATGATCAGTCAGCTGAACGTATGGAAGAACAAATGGGACAGATTAGAAAACCACAAACAACTTCCTTCATTCTATATGGATGGCTGATTGTTCTTAGTTGATTATGTTAAAATAAATTGACTTTTGAAAACGTTCATATCAAGTAATAGCTATTATAATCTGTAAATTAAATAAATTACAAAAATGTATTAGCATAAAATAGTTATGAAATTGTGAAGTACATTTTCATTATGTATAATTTTACACTAAACAGTTTTATTTTACTACAAGTCATACTATTATTAATATTTTAGTCATGTCTGACCCTCCGTACACCGACTGAAAAATAAATTCATTTTATAGCAGAACAAAATCAGACAAACTTTCTGCTATTTAACAAACTAAATTAAAATGTGATGCATTTATATATTTTATGTAATCCTGTATTTTTATTGTTTCTTAGTTAATCTGTTTATTGACACTTATGGGAGCCTAGAATGGGTTTTATGTCTATTTTATTGTGTATTTCTCTGTTGTAGTCAATCAACCAATGTGGACTCCGTCTGTCTGACTTTATAATTATAAGCTACATTTATACTCAGGTTTGTTGCCACTAATCTTCATGTAATTCCATGTTCTTCATAATCTAGATTTAACCGATAAAATGAGCAATAATCTGTTTAGAGTTTCTCTGCAGGCTGATCGAACCTTTTAGATCCAGGAGACGCCGGTCCTCATTTATTCATCTAAAACTGTGATGATTTTTTATTAATATTGTTACATTCTGTATGTTGTCATTAATCTGAAGAATAAAGGATTATTAATCTGATTTGTGTCCGAGTCGTGTTTTTACTCTCATGCAGGATGGTAACGTTTTAACTCGGTGTTTCTTAATATAAGATGCTTCAACAGTGAACAAAGTGAAAAGTTTGAATTTTTTTTAACCTGCTTTAATGAAAGATTTGCTTACATATTTCAACAAATGATGCCAAAAATCACAAAGTATTATCCTATGAATGAATGTTATCACTGGTAATATTATCATTAATAGCAAACCAGTGACTTGCAGAGAGTTGCACCACAGACCAACGAGAAAAAGCAGCAACTAATTAGTGGTCGTGATAAACTCAGTGGCATGTTTCCGCCTCGCAGGCAGGGGCGCTGTTTCCTCCTGCTGCCGGTGGAAAACCTTCCCGTCAGGCTGAGACCTCCAGCTGAGCTTCACCTCCTCTGCCACGCCCTGCTCCTCCATCTTCTGCCTCAGCTGGAAGCAAAAGTTTCACAAACAGGAAAATAAACCAAAATCTCTGAACTTTATGAAAATATTCCACATTTTCTGAGTTTTAAAATCAGAGATGATTTTTCCCTCAGAAACAGGAAGGTTAATAACTCAGTGCTTTTCAAAGTAAGAGCCACCAGGGGGCTCAGTGGGGCCTCTGAAAGTTAGGCCAAAATAATAAATTAAATCTTAAAAGTTTCCTTGTAATTTTTTGTTTTCTTTTGTCAGTCATTAAAAATAAAATATAAGTTAAAATAATTGTTTCAGATGTTCTTCCTGACTGCCGATCAAGTTCATTGAGCTGCTATGATCTGGTCAACAGGCCTGTCGCTTTAACACTTTTCACTGGATCATAAATTGTCCCAGAAGTTACTGGGATGATAATAAATGATAATATTGTTGTTTAAAACATTTTCCAGCAATAAAATTAAAGAACAGATTCTCAATCATGAATAAACTTTAAATTTTAACAAATATTTAACCTTTAACTGGAACAAATAAAGTAAATTATGGAAACTGTCCTTCAAAAAAAAGAAGCTTTTCGAGGCAAAAACACTTTTATCATCCAGAGAGAAAAAATAAATCATGTTATTCATTGAGTTTGTTTTAACTTATCATGCAATCAACTAGTCTATTGCTAATTGTAACAAACATTTGAATTGATATTAAATATTTTCTTTTCAAAAGAGGGGTGGTGATGAAAAAGAGTCAGATCTCAGATCAGTGGATAAATGCTGCCTAATTATTGAATAGTGAATGAAAACAATCTAAAGTTGACATTTCCTTCAGAGCCGTTGTGAACTCCTGACCTGCTGCAGGATGGATTCTTGCACGGCGGCGTCGTTCAGGTCTGCAGATCCGGCCTCCAGGCGAATCTTCAGCGTTCTGGTCGCTGATGGAACCACGTCTGCAGAGAAACGCAGGAACCCGATCAGCCCTGCAGGCCGGATCCTGCAGAGCCGCTGGGGAAACTCACCGGCGCTGCAGAGGAAGCTGAAGCTGTCGCTGCAGGACTGCTGGAACCAGCTGCCACTGGAGGAGTCCATCATCACACAGTTGGTCTGCTGTGTGGTGGCCTGGGTGGCCCAGGGCCAGTAGGAGGCGACGCTGCCGTCGGACCACACCCAGTCGGACCGGTGCAGACCGATCCAGGCCACCGCTGGGGGACTCCAGCTGAAGGTCTGGTAGCTGAAAGTGGAGTCAGGCAGGAGGAAGGTCATCCTGTAGTTCTTGTCGAAGTCTCTGATGGTGGTCAGGTCTGTGTGTGTTTCCCTGCAGTAAGCCTGAGCATCAAACCAGCTCATCTTCTGCCTCACCAGGACGTTACTGTCAGAGGAACCTGAAACAAACAGCACAACGAAAACAAAACGCTTGTTTATGTCTTTCATTTAGGAGCATCTACCCAAAAACTTGTTCTGCAGTAAAAGTAAAATGTTTATTTTTCATTCAGTGAAGAATCCAACAATTTTACTCAAATTACAGAAGAAGTAAATGTAACTAGTTACTACCCAACTCTGCTAGTCAGTATTTTCCTTCAGTCATAGCGACAAGTTCAGACAATCATAGGAGGAAATGAGGAGAGACTGAAATGATTCCTTCATAAAGTTTATATCACAACAGAAAAAAATCTTCAAACTCCTGATAAAATGTTCTGTTCTTCATGAAAGAGATCCAGGATTAACTACAATATTCACTTTATATGGGAAATATTTATGTCAGATGTAAAAAATACCATCAGCTGTTTAGTTTTTATCAAACATTTTCACACTGTTGTCATCATGTTGATTACGCTGCAATGCATTCTGGGTAGATAGTGTAAGCTAGGCCCCACTGTTCTACCATCCAGCCAGCTGCAGTTACTGGCTCTTCAAATGAGTGGAACGAAGAAGAGGAGGACCAAACGGAGGAAGAGGAGGACCAAACGGAGGAAGAGGAGGGACTCGGCAAGAGAAGCTGCAGTTTGTGCTGCTGCTGATGGGAAATGCTAAACTATAGTTAGCATCTGGATCAAACCATTACCTCAAATATATTACAATAAGGTCCTACAAGAACTTAAAGACAGACATTCATTACCTTCCAATTTGTTCTGATTTCACCTTAGCACATGCTAATTTTTAGCTCTAACAGGAGCTAAATGCATTCTAATGTTTTAGCTCTAATAGGAGCTAAATGCATGCTAATGTTTTTAGCACTAATAGGAGCTAAATGCATTCTAATGTTTTAGCTCTAATAGTAGCTAAATGCATGCTAATGTTTTAGCTCTAATAGGACCTAAATGGATACTAATGTTTTAGCTCTAATAGGAGCTAAATGCATGCTAATGTTTTTAGCTCTAACAGGAGCTAAATGCATGCTAATGTTTTAGCTCTAATAGGAGCTAAATGCATGCTAATGGTTTCGTTCTAATAGGAGCTAAATGCATGCTAATGTTTTTAGCTCTAACAGGAGCTAAATGCATGCTAATGGTTTCGTTCTAATAGGAGCTAAATGCATGCTAATGTTTTAGCTCTAATAGGAGCTAAATGCATGCTAATGTTTTTAGCTCTAACAGGAGCTAAATGCATGCTAATGTTTTAGCTCTAATAGGAGCTAAATGCATGCTAATGTTTTTAGCTCTAATAGGAGCTAAATGCATGCTAATGTTTTCGTTCTAATAGGAGCTAAATGCATGCTAATGTTTTAGCTCTAATAGGAGCTAAATGCATGCTAATGGTTTTAGCTCTAATAGGACCTAAATGCATGCTAATGTTTTCGTTCTAATAGGAGCTAAATGCATGCTAATGTTTTAGCTCTAATAGGAGCTAAATGCATGCTAATGTTTTAGCTCTAATAGGAGCTAAATGCATGCTAATGGTTTTAGCTCTAATAGGACCTAAATGCATGCTAATGTTTGAGCTCTAATAGGAGCTAAATGCATGCTAATGTTTTCAGCTCTAATAGAAGCTAAATGCATGCTAATGTTTTAGCTCTAATAGGAGCTAAATGCATGCTAATGGTTTTAGCTCTAACAGGAGCTAAATGCATGCTAATGGTTTTAGCTCAAATAGGAGCTAAATGCATGCTAATGATTTTAGCTCTAACAGGAGCTAAATGCATGCTAATGGTTTTAGCTCTAACAGGAGCTAAATGCATGCTAATGTTTTTAGCTCTAATAGGAGCTAAATGCATGCTAATGGTTTTAGCTCTAATAGGAGCTAAATGCATGCTAATGGTTTTAGCTCTAACAGGAGCTAAATGCATGCTAATGGTTTTAGCTCTAATAGGAGCTAAATGCATGCTAATAATTTTAGCTCTAACAGGAGCTAAATGCATGCTAATGGTTTTAGCTCTAATAGGAGCTAAATGCATGCTAATGGTTTTAGCTCTAATAGGAGCTAAATGCATGCTAATGGTTTTAGCTCTAATAGGACCTAAATGCATGCTAATGTTTTCGTTCTAATAGGAGCTAAATGCATGCTAATGGTTTTAGCTCTAATAGGAGCTAAATGCATGCTAATGGTTTTAGCTCTAATAGGAGCTAAATGCATGCTAATGGTTTTAGCTCTAATAGGACCTAAATGCATGCTAATGTTTTCGTTCTAATAGGAGCTAAATGCATGCTAATGGTTTTAGCTCTAATAGGAGCTAAATGCATGCTAATGGTTTTAGCTCTAATAGGAGCTAAATGCATTCTAATGGTTTTAGCTCTAATAGGAGCTAAATGCATGCTAATGGTTTAGCTGTTTATGTAAATCACAAGCTGATTTGTTTCGCTCGTTTTTCTCAGATTTCTTGTGTGAAAACTCATTTTGTGGGCTGACCTCGTTGACCTGAACTGTTTACTGCTTGTGTTTTGTTTTGATTCTTTTTCATTTATTTCTTTGTTTCTGTTTTAGTTTTCAGTCCAGAATAACCGACCCAGCATGCATTGCACAAGTGAAAAAATGGCTACTTCTGTAGGTGGAAAATTAGACAAAGGTATTAAGTTTTTGAAGTATTAATGGAGTTTCATGTATCATAATCAACCTTTAGGTAAATAGAAGAATTAAAGCACATAAAGGGCAAAATGTCAACATCTGAGTGACTCTTCATGTGATTTCAGTTAACTGAGATTTAAAATGATCATCCAGACCCTCCAGATCGATAAAGTGATGATTTTACAGAAACCAGATGAGAATAAATCAGAACTCACCATCATAAAAACTCGTTCAGGTCTCCACAGTCCTTAGCGGACCAGAACCCAGATTTACTGAACAAGGTGCACTTCCGGTCCTGCGGCTCGTTGAAGGTCCACATGGTGAACAAGGAGCTGCTGCTGGGTGAGGGCTGGTTCTCATCCCGGGACCACTGCCAGGTGCCGTTAAAGAGGCCGATCCAGACCCGGGAGGTCCCCGCCGCCCGCCGGGCCTCGGTGCCGTTGGCGGCGTTCAGGATGGCGGCCAGGTCGGAGAACCTCTCCCGGCAGTAGGTCTGGGCCTCGCTCCAGTTCTTCACCTGGTCGACGTAACGGAACTGCCGGATGGTTTGATCCGACTGGAGGTCAGAGACGGCCAGGAGGCCTGAGGGAGGAAGGTGGAGACTACAGCAACCGGCAACCTGCTACCAGCAACCTGCAGCAACCGGCAACTTCAGGAGAAACTGAACAGAACCAGGATCGGTTTGGATTGGTTCGGTTTGAATCGGTTCGGTTTGGATCGGTTTGGTTTGGATCGGTTCGGTTTGGATCGGTTTGGTTTGGATCAGGATTCATGGTGGGAACTTTAACATGTTTATTCAGATGAATTTAACTCAGCAGCTTTTGAAAGTTTCTGTTTCTCCATCACTATGAGTCTGACTGTAAATGGATAAGAAGCTGCTTCTCTTCTCTTCTCTTCTCTTCTCTTCTCTTCTCTTCTCTTCTCTTCTCTTGTTTTGTTAGTTTCTGCTAATAAATGATCTGATTGGACGTTGGGAAAAGCCTAAAACAGCATTGCTATGCTACACATTAGCAGCTAATGCTAAGGTCAGCAGTGTCCACATTTCTAAAGAAGCTCCATGAATGATCAGCAGTTCCTGAAACTCTGGAAAGATTTTCAGGAACTCAACTTTTTCAAACCATTTTATAAAGTTCAGATTAAATTAGAGGTATAGGAAGGAGACCAGCCTGATCAGAACCCATATGGGTCCAAACACACTGAAATCAGGTTCTGATGCAGATTAACAGATGAGACAGAACCTGAAATAATCCGTATATTTTAGATCTGCAGCAGGAAAACTAAACAACTATTTTTCTTATTCTGTTTTTGTCCAAAAGTCTCATGAGAGCTAAACATAAGGAGGACAAAAAGTGACAATAATCATAGAAACAAATAAACAACAAATGGTTGAATGGTTGAATTCAACAAATGGTTGAATGAATGAATGAATGAATGAATGAATATCTGCTCAATGAATGAGCAGATATTGCGTCAGAAAAGAATTCCCCAACTTATTTGATGGAACATAAATTGATCAGTTTTTAATTCAAAGTTTAATGTCTGTCAATATTAATAGAAAATATGGATGATAAAATAACAGACCTGCGATCATCAGGAGGAAGAGTCCAGCGTTTATCATGACTGAGGGCTGCACATGTGACAAATATTGAGAAATAAAACTGAACTTTTATTTTCATATGAAAATTAACATTGTTTCATAGTTACTGTTTAATAACAAACATTTGTAAACATGTATGACAATAAATTAAATTGAATAAAATCCAAAAACACACAAACCTGAACAAGGAGAGTTTTGGTCTTGAAGAGTGAAGCGTCGAAACAATCCGTCCTTCTTAAATCGTCCCCCGTCTGTCCGACCCGTCTGTCCGACCCGTCCTCGTTAATCTGACATGTTCATGTAAAATCAGACATTAATCAGAACCCATTTGGTTAAGAGACGCTGACCGTCGATCCTGGATGCAAAGACAGAAAATACTAACGATTCATTCAAATTCAGCCAAGAGACAAAGACCTGAGGAACCAGCAGGAACCAAAAGGAACCAAAAGGAACCAACAGGAACCATCAGGAACCAGCAGGAACCAACAGGAACCAAAAGGAACCATCAGGAACCAGCAGGAACCAACAGGAACCAGCAGGAACCAGCAGGAACCAACAGGAACCAAAAAGAACCAACAGGAACGAACAGGAACCAACAGGAACCAGCAGGAACCAGCAGGAACCAACAGGAACCAGCAGGAACCAACAGGAACCAGCAGGAACCAACAGGAACCAGCAGGAACCAACAGGAACCAGCAGGAACCAAAAAGAACCAACAGGAACCAAAAGGAACCATCAGGAACCAACAGGAACCAGCAGGAACCAACAGGAACCAGCAGGAACCAAATTATGAATTAGAGTTTCTGATCCTTAACACAAAGCAATCGATCTGATTTTCTCTTGAGTTTGGATGAGATTTTTGCTGAATGAGTTAAATTTGAATCTGAGTTTTTTTTCCTCCATGATTTGTTAAAACTTGTCGTTGCTCTTCTGACCTTCAGCCTGTTTTTGCATAAAGTTTTGCGTTTGCATGCGAACAGTAGCAGCGATCTGCACCAGCAGCTCCCAATGATTTGCTTAATGTTGCCATTACTGAGGAAAACCTGCAGGAACATTTTAGATTTAAATCACAGCCACAACCTCTAGAAAAAGATTTTTTATTTTCTCCTTCACAGCAGAAAGATAAAAATATTCACACCTCAACTCAAAAATATATGAGCAGTAAATCTGAATAATCAAGTAAATTAAAGCTTGTAGCTTTTTCTTATCTTCAGAGGAGATGTTGGGGATTCCATCCTTTATCATCGATGATGGAAATGTTCCAACTTCCTGTTCTCGCTGCAGCTTCCTGTCCAACTAGTCTCATATTTAGGGTCAAAGTTCAGGAGATGCTGACAACACCATGTTGCCGTGGTTACACATTATAACAGTTGGAAGGCCTTGCTTTCCAACTGTAATTGTTAAGGTTAAGACCTGTTGAACATACATTAACAAAGACAGAAAAGACAAAAGAGTTCGATTCTTTTTCACTGGCGAGGAGAACGGACAGAGATGTGCTTCAGTTACAATCTCCTACCGTTCTGAAGCACATTCTGTCTGCTCCTCTATTTTATTGTTTTCAGGATCCCTAATCACAAGGACACTGTAGCTCTAAAGGGAGGGGCAAACAGCTACAGCGTCAAATGTTATTCACTAACTAACACACAATCATTCTGCACTAGATAATGTCCTACAAAGATTAATAAAATATGTAGTGATCTTAGCAATGATGGCTTTATTGGAGGCCAGCAACTCAACCGAAGCAGAGCTCTTCACCAAGAGGTAAACCTGCAGGAAGATTTTGTTTCTGCTCTCTGTCAGTGAGGCCTTCTGAGAAAAGAATCAGAGTAAATCAACAATACAAGAAACATTCTTAATTCTATAATGAGATTAACTTAAAGGAAAGCATAAAATAAAGATACATTACAAAGATTAATGAGAATAACAAATAATTGATTAATAATATCACAATTTCTCCAACAGTAATAACGGCTCAGCATCCAGAACCAGAGAAAAAGAAACGAATCAACCAGAAAATCTAGAAAACAAGGAATCAGAACCAGCAGAAGTTCTCCAACATGCAACATTTTCTTTTCCTTTTTCTCACCAGAAATAAAAACAAAGTTAATTAAAACTAAAGCTTTACAGCAGCTGACCAGGCAGGTCAGCTGCTGTAAAGATCAGAACTTTTTAACTTCCTTCCTTTAACAATGAGACGACAAGGTTCTTGTTTTTCAGTAAAAACATTTTTTCTGTTTGGTCTGAAGTGACATATCCTCTGTTTTAATGCTTTAAGGATCTGAGATGTTTTAAAACAGGAGGAACATGGACAAAACCTGAAAAGTGTGGCATGCATCTTATTCAGTCCCTTTGAGTCAAATAACATTGAATAACAAACCAAATCTCCTCCAGACATTATTGAACTGAAATGTGTTTTCAGAGCTGCTGCCGTTCTGCTGTTATCATGGTGTCGACTTCAAAACCCCCAAAACGTAGGAATTTTGAGTTCTATGAGCGCCATATTAATTTAACTATTCCAAAGAAACATCGGCTGATAAACTTAGCAGTTTGGAGATTCCCGTTGGTTTGAGCTGTCTAGTTGTCATATTGATGTGTAACATAAAGGGATGCAGTAGTTTGTAACCTTATAACAACAACATAAGATCAGGAAAAAGTATTAAGTCTGAAGAAAAAGTGATGAGGGAGCAAGGTCAGCTATGCTAGCTTGACTTTGACAACCTCAACATGCAGATGTGCTGCAGATTCTGTTTTGGTTCAGTTACAACAAAAAAGGTGATAGAGCATCAGCAGAGTCGATGTTTTAGTTTTAGTTAAGTTTATTGGCTCTAGTGGCTTTTATTTGATATTGATTGACAGTAAAGTGGGTAATGAGAGAAAGGGAAGACGTGGGGCAAAGGTCACCAGGCCGGGAATTGAACCTGTGACCGCCGCGTCGAGCACTAAGGCCTCCTTATGTGGCTAATCCCTGTGCCGCCGCAGCACCGCGGTAGTCGGTGTTTAAATGAGCTAATCTAAGCTAATCTACCGCCGCTGTTACATTTAGCTACTGCTGTAGATCAGATCAATCACTGATCAATAATCGCAACATAAACATCAAGTCTAAAAATCTGGAATGAACTGAATGGTCTGTTCTCTGTGTGGGAAATGTTTGAGTGTTTTTGGGTTTGATTCTTTTCTGGCATTGTTGACAGTCGGTTGCTATGACAGCGGGTCTGTGTAGCGTCGAGCGAGAAAAACGAACATGAGAGATTTTGAGTTTTTCTTCTTCATTTTCCACAAATCAGTAAGAGCCACACGTCCAGGTTTCATTTAGTTCACTGGATTGTTCTACTGCTAATCAGTCGCTGAACTTGCACATGCCTGGGGCCGGCTCTGGCAGGACGCTGTGTGAATATGATGAGATGATTCTCGTTCTTCTTGCATGACTCTCCGTCGTCGGCTTCCAAACGCCGCACATGGAAACGTCTTCCTGGTCCGAGCGCCAAGCAGACGCCCGTCGTGTCCGGCCGACGTCTTCACCAGACGTTTTTTTTCTATGAAAAAAATAATTTTTTATAGAATTTTTTTTTTCTATAAATATATATCTGATTGGTTGATCAGCAACCAATAAGATAGCTTCCTTGTTTCAGCCAATCACATCAACCCATTCTGGAAGCGCCGTAGCCATGACGACACACTGACCTCAGCCGGGCTTCTGTTAGCTATTAGCTATTAGCCATTTATCTTCAATCTGAATAACGCAAAAACAAACTTTTGCCTTAATTAGAAACTGAAAACGATCAGATCAGCTGAACATGACGTTTCTGTTTTTATTAAATAAAGCAGCCAAAGGTAAAAAGTTTAAAATATATTTTATTTCTTTGTTGATCTGAATGTAAACTCAAAGTAAAACATGAAATAGAGTTAAAAACTGAACCACCAAAACAGAAATATTTAATATTTATAGTGACTATAAAAAGATAAAATTATGTAAAATCTTTTTTTTTTTCAGATAAAATGTTGGATGTTTCTGTAAATTAATCAGTCGGACATCCAGTTTAGAACTGGGTAAACTGGTTTACCCATAATTCATTGCTGCATGTGACATTTTTAGTTAAAAGAAGGATTTATGGCAATGTTTTGTTTTTCCATATTTCCATAAATTCAATTTTGACTTTCAAATGCACGTGATTTTTAGAAATCAGTATTTGTGAATAAAATTTAGGATTAAATTGTTAATGTCATAATTTAAATTATCATATTAAACTTAAAGATGGAATAGATTTCTTGTGTAATATCCACTTGTGAAAATCTTCCTAGAACATTAATGACGTTGCAGTTGTTTTGTCACAAAACACAGAAATTTATATTTATTTTGAATTTCTTTTGCAGAAAGTCATTATGGGGAAAACTTCATAAATAATTATGAAATTAAAATCTTTTTTGTGTGACTGGATTACAAATCTATTTGGTTCTTATTTTCCTTAGAGATATTAACATGATATTTAAACAATTGTTTTCTTCTACTGGGAAACAAAACTGATGTCAGGAGTTTAAAATGAAAGTTTGTAACATTTTTAGTCACAACATTTATAGTTTCTCTTAAAAATTACATTGTAGTTGTGCATCAGGTCTTTTTCTCCAGTTTTTCTATATGTTTGTCCAGAACTTGATCTTTGTTATTAGCTCATCTTTATGCTAAGCTAACCTGTAGCTGCATTAGAGACGGTAAAACATTGTGTCTATTTTTCAAACGCAGACTGTTAACTTGAATATTAGTACATTTTATTTATGAGTTCTGGCTCGTATGTTTACAAGCCAGAGCATTCTAATTCTGAACACTCGATGTTCACACGGACTGAATCCACACATCCTCGTCGGAGTGTTGGCTGCACTTTGGACCGGGTCAGAATCTCTTCAGACTGAAACCCCTGCAGCTTCAGAGACCGTTCTCTTTTTCACAGAGGTCTGACGGTCCTCCTCCTGCACAGAGAAGAAGGAAGGAGAGCAGATCACTGAGTGTCTCCAGCAGCAGTCAGTGA